AGAGGGAGATAGGATAATTTTGAAAATGGGTGAGGCAGGGAGATAGGGTGGTTACGTCGGTGTGGGGAAAAAATTTGAGATAAGAGAAAGTAGTTTGTTTTTAAAAATGAGAAAGAGATTTAGATGAGAGATAAGGAAGAGAGAGAGAGATAACATGAGAGATAAGGAAGAAAGAGAGAGGTGCCGGATGAGAGTTGGTGGGAAAAGAGAGAATGGAAGAGATGGGTATGGAACAGGTTCTGTGCAGATCAGGTTCTGGGTTTTCAAAGTTAGTATGAAAAAAATGAGTTGCTGGGTTGCTGATCATTTAAAATATGGAATAGAGAATGGTAGTTTTGAGTTGCTATAGTTGCTGGGTTGTTTGATGGGTTGCTGTGTCGGGAGAGTGTTGGAGGGAAAATGGAAGAGATGGGTTGGTGAGAGTTGCTGGGTTTGTGGATATAAGTAAAAATGAGTTGTTGGGTTGTTGGAGGGAGAGTGTATCGGAAAGAGAGAGAGATAGGGAAAAAGAGTCATTACATAATATAAGAAGAAGATAAAGTTAAAGGGGGAGATAGGAGTCTCCGCTAGTTACTATGAGATAAGCTACAGAGGTAGGAGTGTTAGAAAAATTGGGTCCAAGGACTGTCCGATCAAAAGTCTTAAAATGATTTGAACCGTAAAAAATTAAAGATAAATATTTTTAATTATTTTATTATCTAGATATCATTGGAGTGTATATTAAAAAAAAGAGTAGTTAAAATAAAATATATATATATATATATATATTTTTGGATGGTTAAAATACAAAACGATCTAAAGACTACTGCTTCTATTCCATCTCTCGTCTTCCTCTTTCGGCCTTTCTTCAACCCCTTTCTCTACGTGCACCTCTTGCTTAACGGATATCCATACATACAAATACACCGTCATACTCAAAACACACTCAAATACACATTTGTTAGTGGATCAAAACCTATCCATGGCTTTTCACTTCTACTGATTAGATTGACAACAATTTGAAGAATCTGATATTTTTATTCTATTATTTTCAGCTTCTTCAATCCCCAATCTACGCTTCTAATTTTTGGTCACAAATCTAACAAGAAAAAGTACTGAATTATTTCTCCACACTCACACACAATTCTTGAAGCGGCAAAAATGAGAGTGTGCAAGAGGTTGTTTGATGGATTCCTCATCTATTGGTGAAGGGTGGAGGTGGATTCGGGTTGGGGTCTGGGTGGGTAAATTCATTGATCATTTGTGGGTTTGGTGAGGGGCATCAATGTTGTTTATGATATTTGTGTGTGGGTGTGTTTGAATGGATGATTGCAGAGTATAGGTGTGTGTATTTATGTGTTCAGAGAGAGCCCAGGAGATATATGGAGATTGGAGAGAGAGAATAGAGACGGGTAGGAGAAAAGCGAGAGAGATGATGAAGTTAAAAAATTGATTTGGGACCATATGGCTGACTTGCTGCACTATAAGTGGCTGTCTGTAAACTCATGCTTTCACGGCTCAACCATGAATAACTCAATCTCTCTTCTCTAATATTTTTTCCTTTATTTTCCTTCTATTGGACTAAAACAGTTTTTTAAGTATAAAAATTAGATTTTTGGTCAACTCAAATTAAAGTGGAACTCGATTGTTATTTTGAATGAAATTTCGTGGGTTCATATTTTACTCCGTAAGGAGAATAACGTGGTATATTCATTTGCTCAAATCGAGTAACAAATGAATGAGAAAATAGGCTACAAAGTGACCCTCTTCAAACATGAAAATAAATGAAGTGCAATGTGGGATGTGACACCAATCCACATTGATTGAGGAAAAAATTCGACATAGACATATATAGGCCAAGTTTGCTCTATAAAATTGAGCTTCAAAGAGTACCACAATTTTATGAGCAGAGCGAACATCTACATGTCTTCGGTTCAACCACACCCGCCTCGCCACGAGCACGACCCGGCTCGGCCCGGCCAGGTATGGGTGTGGTTTAGACCAAATCTTATTTTTTAGAGAAAATCCATTTAATAAATTGGGTGTGAATTTCTTAACTCAAAATTTATTTTCGATATCCAATTGATCGCACTGGTTCAGATTTAGGCTTCTCTCCAATCCGAAATTATTTAAGTCCAGTCTGAAAATTTGGAGTGTGTATGATCGTCTAGAACAATTTAAACAATGGTGTCTCCTGGCTATTGCATTTCATTCTGGGTTGTGTCCTTTAGTAAGGTGACTGTCTAGAAAGTCACCAATGTGTCTATAAATAACCAGCCTCATTTCTATTAATAAAACTATTAGTCTATTAAGGCATTAAACAGTCTGCATTTCGGTATTAAGACAGTGCATTAGAGAGAGTACACAACATAATATTGGTTCGTTGGACGAGCAGATTAGAATACTACTTCTGTTCGTGTAAAGATCATCGTATCATGGGAGGCAGACGCTCGGTATTCCATAAGCACCGTGTGTGGGGGTGGAATCTGTCTTAAGGATATAGTGTCAAACACTAGTCTTGATCTACCCAAAGTTCAATAACAGTTCCTGTTCTGTAACCGGGTTAGTTTTTATATTAGTTTGACAAAATGTTTCTGTGTAATTTTTTACTGTAACTGTTTCGTTTTGAGTAACTATTCTACAATTCACACTTACTGTTGTATTTTATTTTAAGTTCTATAATATCAAAAATTTCAATTAGTAATTTTACAATTTTGACACACTACAAACGACACCTTCTTGGTAGACGGCCCGATGTATTGACAAGGGACCCACTTATATGGAGTGAGTTCCATTTGAATTCACTATAGGAATTCTACTACAAAGAGAAATAGAGAAAAATTATATGGGAGGAGACCTCATTCCTAGTAAATATCATATCTTTTTCCATCAGATCTTGTGTTCCCATTTTGGGGGAGAAACCTTAATGCTCCATATGGTTGCCATGGGAATGGAAAATAAACTAAACTTGGATGTACCTTCTTCTTAGGGTAGCTACCAAAAGGAAGTATGTAACAAGCAGGATACATTTAAGAAGAGAACTGCAAGAAGGCTCTCAAAAAAGTGAGTCAGAGAGTGAAGCAGCAACCTTGATCAGATATGACATTTACCATGTTTAATCTGTCTTCGACAAAAGTTTCAGCTTCCCAGTGTAAGATTATCAAGGGTTTTGAGTATCTTTAAAGCTGTTTCCAAGGCTGCTCAAGAAAAAAAAGGAAGAAGATGAAAAACAAAAACATGATGATGAAGATCATAATGTAGGAGGAGGATAGAAAGTCGATGAAGAAGAAATTAATGATAAACCTTTCTCTTATAATTCTCATAGAATGATCTCTTCTTGGGTATATTTGAATGCTTGTTCCAACTTCAATTTGTTGTTTTTAGGAAATCAACTTACTTAGAAAAGTAAACTTCATAAACTTTGTTTTGGAAGTGTACGTAGATTGACTTAAAGGGAGATAAATAACTTAATCTTTGAAAAAAAACACTAAGCTGATCCAATTATCTAGTATACTCCTATCCACCGATTAAAAAAATAACTATCAAGAAAGAACTAATCATTTACTTTGTTTTAAAATCTCTTTTTATGAGAAAAGAGAATAGGGACGAAAAAAAAGAAAAAATGTAATTTCAATAGAAAAAAAGAGCTTTTTTTATTCTTCCTTTACTATATAGGATAGATATTTAGACCTATATACATATTTATAGAGATAAAATTCTTGTCAAGATTCCTGAATTAATGCAATGTCTAATTCTTTTTTGTAATCGAAAATGCTAGGTCGAAGTATCTATTGATATTTCTACGAGAAGAATTTTATTCAAGGATTAAGTTATTATTCAACAAAAAGAATTTTGACATTGCTACAGTGGTCACAGAATAATGATAATCCTCTCTATAAGCACCATAACCTCAAAAGAAGAAACAAAATCACCATGATATGATGGTAAGTTTGTAAAGAAAATGGTCCCAGTTCATGTCAGCCCTGTCAGGCTAAAAAATTTCTCTGTTGTGCCATTTCAATGCGACTGACATACTAAAATACACACTTTAATGCTTCACACATGAACTTGACCGTCTCTTATCTGTTTTCATCAGTTCAAGCCTTCCTGTTTTGCATGATACGTTTAAAGCTAGGGTTTATGACAATCTTCCCCTATCCATACTGACAGTCAGAGAGAGAGAGAGTTATCATTCTTGCAAAGGATTAGATGCATATATAGAAGGCTAGTCATGTGCACTAAGCTTTTGTAATAAATGCGGTTTTCCCATATGGCCATATAATAACATTTGTTGCATGATACTGTAGTGTTAGATGCCATATGAAGAGAGATGAATTGCATTGAACATTGTAAATTCTACAAATCATTTTTAAGGATAATTCAATCAATTTTGATGTTTAAGGACGTTTTGAAGAGAGGAAAATGTACCATTACCTTGGCACTAACGTAGTAATTATATGGTACTTCCTAATATCATTAATCATTCTATGAAAAAAAATTAAGAATACAACTTGGAAATGATGAACTAATGAGATCATAAAAGAGTAAAATTGCATCTGAATATTAATTAATTCACTTTAAGTCGATTAAGGGACTTAACGAATATTGGAAAAACTAAAGTGTCATAGAATTTTCTTATCAGAACAACCCATGGAACTTTGCATTGCAATCCAAACATCACTCAGAATCACAAACATCAATCCCTAATTTAAAGAAAAAAACAACTCTAATAATAAGAGAGAGAGAGAGAGAGAGAGAGAAATACTGGACGCAAACCTTATTTAGTCCGACTTCGGCACCAATAAAAACATAAGTACCTCAAACAAGCTGGAATATGAGACTAATTACTCGACTTTCTTCTTTCCACAACCAGCCCTTGAAGATCACTGTTTTCTTCTCTTCCATGCTTTCAAAATAAAGTTGCAGTAAGTATAACTGATGAAGAAACTCACCCTCTGTACACTGTTGATGATCATTTATTTTTATTGGTGTGAGAAGAATTAGATGTATGTAATAGTGCATTATGGGTCATGACCGAGTCGAAGCTCCAAATCCACTTCATTTTCAACACCATCTTCTTTGCCATCTCTCTTCTTCCTTTTCCAATCTCCCGTGTGCGGGGGACCAATACGAAGGCTCAAGTTTGCACCCACAATCTCTTCATTGAATTTCAATTGCTTCGATCTTGGAACAGCCAAGTTATTTCCATGGTATACTTGTTGGTAGGTTGGGTTTGATGGAGGAAAGTACAAAGGACAATTCATCTGCCCTCCAAAAGCTGTGAAGTAACTTCCATGGTCGCCTGAAATTGGTGGAACATAACCAGAAAGCATGGAGTCTTCATTGAATTTCTTCGAAAAAGAAGAGTCACGAGTGTGTTGTTTCTTGCCCTTGGCTTTATCTTTCCTGTGCATGTTCATGTGGCCTCCTAAGGCCTGAGCGTTGGTGAAGCCTCTCTTGCAGAAAGTACACTCGTAGGACCGGCCGATGCCGGTGTTATCGTCACTGAATTTCTCTGGCTGATCGTTTTCGTCGCTTGAGGCTTCGGAATTTCCATTTTTTTCAGCATCCATGCTTAAGGGTAATCTGGGTTTGGAATATTTTGAGGAATTTCTAAGGTGGAATCTGTTAGTGGAATGAATATGTGGTGGGAAATTAGGGTTATGAAAAAGAGAGAGAGAACAGTAAAGAAGGTTTTATAGACTAAAAGCTGTTTGGGATGAGAGATAGATGTAATTAGAGGACATTTGCTTTGGCATTGTCTTCAGTGTTATTGTTTTGAGATTTTACAAAGACTCCGTTTTTGGATTTATGCTAATGTGTTTTTCCTTGCATCCGGCTCAAATGTATTCCTTCCAAACTCTCTCTCTCTCTCTCTCTCTCTCTCTCTCTCTCTCTCTCTCTCCCCCCTTAGAAGAGGAACTTGGTATAACTATAGGTAATGTCATAATATGCTATAGTTACTCATTAATTAATTAGCAAGATCAAAAAGTTGTTGCATTAGATTCTTTATGCACAAAAATTGGCAGTTGGGATTCGAAATATGGTGCCACCTGTTCATATCGTCACAAGTAACACTTTACCATTGAGATAAAAACGTGAATATTAAACTTGACAAGTAACATATGGCCAAAAGAAATAAAATAGACAAGTAGCCAATATGACCAAAGAATTATTACGTATGAACTTGGATATATTGAGAAACAATAGTTTCATATGGATAATACCTCGTTTAGACACTGTAGTTGTGCCTTCACATTAAAAATAAAGTATAACTTCCCAATCCTATATAATGGTCGACCCCATGGTAGCAAGAAAAGGCGATCTTATGCTATACTCCAATGATCTCTTTCCTACCGAGGCACGCACACTCCCATCGTGTTTCAAATCATATTCTGATTTTATTATTATATAATTATTATAGTTGAATGGAAAACTAGTTTTCATAATATTTGCTTGAAAATATATTTTAATTTTTTTTAGAGGCTTAATAGACCGCGATTGAGAACAAAAATCATGCTACTCCATGTCCAAAATTTTCTTCCTTCATTTTAATGTATATGTTCCCAAAAGAGCAAACCAAATCCCGCGTGATTCATTCTCTCTTCTTTGAGACCAAAACCATTTAATTGACTTGGTCATTTAAGGATTAGTGTCCTATGCATGTCCTCTTGTTAGAGTCTCTATCCCATCTAATTACTGCGCGCAAGCTAAGATCCATAAAGTGGCTGTGCTGTACAGTCTATCATTCGTGTGTGTGTGTGTTTTGTGTGTGATGCTTTACAGTCTATCTTTCGTTTGTGCGTCAAAGAGGCAAAGAGGAAAAAGAAGAAAAAATTACGCTTAGACCCCTTAAATTATGTCCCTCTTGTCACATTGTTCGCTAAACTATTCGATTTCACATTTTTCACCTTAAATTATTGGGTTGAGTTTCTCATGGCAAATCTAAACAAAAAAGGGATGTCAATATGTTAGGAGTTGTCGTCGGACATTCTTCAGTGTAAAATTCTATTTTTGTCCTAATTTACATAAAAATTGGGAAAAAGTCAATGAATGGGATAAGGTAAAACATGAACAAGTAGTTTAAAGTTTAATGTGAGAAAATAGATAGTTTCGGGGTAATGTCGAACTAGACTTATAATTAAAAGGGTCCAAGTATAATTTTCTCTAATATCGATATAAACTGGTAGTCCAAAAAAAAGAGAATAAAGAGATGTAACACATTAGTTATTAAAATTGAAGTTCCCTTTCTCTACTGTCGTAACTCCTATCTGGTTTCCATTTGAATTGCAAGAGACGACTAAAATAACGCGTCTAAAACAGTCAAAGTAGTTGAAGTTTTGAAGATGGTTTACAATGATATTATTCTTAAACGGCCATTTTGTTTGCATGTTTACGACAGTTTTAAGACTGTAGGATCGAAAATGTTAAGGACAAATGAGAAATAAATGGTCAACGATAGTAACATAAGTAGAGACATTCCTGCTTTCACCGCCAGTTCATGTACAGCAACACTTAACGTTTCGTTTTTTGGATTAGAATCGAATCCATAGCCGTTTACCATAGAATCAATTGACTGAACAGAAATTATTTTCATGTATATTATAATTAGCTGGAGAAATAGTGTTGATCTATTGCTGTAAACCACGAAAACTTGCATGTTTCAATCGGTTCTTAATTAACTCCATGTATCCTTAAATGTTACATTTGTTTCAACAAAGATATTGAGACCTTTCCGGGATAGTTTGAAGAAAAAAAGAGAGAGGACTGTAAGGTTTGTCCTCGATTTTTAGAATTGCCAACTACGACGATGATATCTTAGTCTTCTTACATCACCCAACTAATTCTTCTTGGTATTTGAAATCTTTCCGTTCCATATAAATATTGGAACTATGAGGATAAATGCTTGGGGTTCGAATGAGAGTCCTTTCGATTTGTACAATAGGTTTTTGGCCAAATTGTCTATTTTTCGAGTTAAACACTACTTCCCACGTTACGAGTTTTACAGAAAACATGCATAATAAAAAAGGTCAATCGTGATTTTAATTTCACAACCTCGAAATTTATAAGGTATATATAATGTGTGATATTCAACATGTCCAAATGCATTTTTCTTCCAATTAAAATGTGACACATATAAAATTCTTTTATTTTATTTTTATTATGAGTAATTATAAATAAATCCAACCAAAATATACCGGTTATTTATACTAATCTTATCCACATTTGATATTCACTGCCCAGGAGATCTGTAATAAGAAGCAGAAGGCAGGCCTAGCGATGGGTCAATGTATTAGGCATGACAATCGAGTCGTGCTGTGTCGAGTTTGTGTCGTGTCGAACATTAGTCAATCCATACTCAACCCATTTAACTATTCTTGTCGTCTCGAGTTGACCTGTTTATTTTCGTGTCGTATTCGTGTTCATATTCGTATTGACCTACATAAACTTTAAATAAAAAATTTAACTCTAAGATTTTATTTTCACTTAATTGAATCTCTCCTTGTACTTTTTTTACAAATTAAAATTTAACTTAATAATAATAATAACAACAATAATGAGTAATAATATCTTTTTTATACAATAATTATGTAAATACTTGATAAACAATTACAAATAATTAATATTTTATTTATATAATACTAATTAAATATGTTAATTATACATCATACAACCAAATTAAACATCAGAAGTAATGAAAAAAACAAGTCATCAAAACATGGAAACTCATACATGCAACGAAAAGGCCAAATTAATCTCCTTCGAATTAAAAACTTCGTGTTGACGGGTCAATTCATGTTAAACAGGTTGAACCCGAATACAACCCATTAACACTTCGTGTTAACGGGTTGTGTCATATGCAGGTCGTGTCAAAAAATTAGTCAACTCAAACTCATTTATTTATATCGTATTTCGTATTGTGTTATCGTATCGTATTAAAAATTGTCAACCCTATAATATATGTCCTTGCCTCCTTGACCATCGTCTGGCTTTTCTTGGGTCACCATTCTGTGGGCCCAGACCATTCTTTCCGGGCCCAGTCTAATGCTGTTATCATTATGAGGTTTTTATAGGATTATTATCATCGACACATTTTAGATAAGTATATCTTTAATAAGATTCCTCTATTATTTAAAATATCACTGACATCCCTTATCAGAGGTGTTAACTAAAATTCAATTTTACAAAATTGCATTTGATATATTATTATATTTTAGGAAAAATTTTAGTTAGACCATTTCTAAATAGACATATCTTCATTGGGATCCTTTTTATTTTTTGATTTTTTTTACGTATTAAAATTTGTATCAATTAAAATTTGATTCGAGCAAATTAAAATTTATTTTTTATGTATTAGAATTTAAGTCAATTAAAAATTATATTTTTATATGTATTAAAATTTGAGCAGAGTTAATTTTAACCGACCCAAATTCTAATACATCAAAAATATAAATTTTAATTGACTCAAATTTTAATATGTAAAAAAAATTTTAATCATCTTGAATCGAATTTTAATTGGATTAAATTTTAATACATTAAAAAATACAAATTTTAGTCGACTCGAATCGAATTGAATTTTAATTGGCGCTTTCATCTCAGGTTGAACTCGGATCAGCTCAAATTTTAATGCGTAAAAAGAAATTTTAATAGGTTATAATTTTAATACGCAAAAGCTCGAATCGAATTTTAATCAGTTCAAATTTTAATATGTAAAAAAAAATTTAATCGGCTCGAATTTTAATATGCATAAAAATAAATTTTAATTAGTTCGAATTTTAATCAAACTTTATCTAGAAATATTATGTGAAGTTTATGTAGAGACAATTTTGGTATTTTAGATGAAATTGCTTTTATATTAAAAATAGTGGTTTAACAGTTTAAATATAAACTAAAATAGGGTGTCATTATTGTTTTGGGTTATGAAGGGATCTTATTGAAGATAAAACTATTTAGAAAGGGTGTGGATGATAATTATCCCTTTTTTCAAATTTTATCTAATATTAAATTCTCAATTTATAAAAGTAAAACAACTATCAAAATTGAACTAATTTTCATCTATTTTGATTCAATGGTATAAAATTTATTTCAATTTTGGTTTTCTACTTAAAAACATTATATTTTTTCGTACAGCTTCCAGCATCAGAACAAATATACTCCCTCAATACCAGACAAGCTTGCTAATCTACATTTCTCTCTTCACTCTCTTATTTTTTTTCGATTCACTTTAATTTTAAATTATATAATTAAATAAATAAAATATTTATGTATGAATAATGACATGTACATATAATGCTCACATGAATACACTTATTCATAAAAGAGTAATGTTACATAGAATTTAAAATATTGAATTGATCATTCATTATCATTAATTTAACTATAAATTCCAAAATTTACTATTTATTTTATAATTATGATTGATTAAGTTAATAAATTCAGTGAATTTTTTAAGTCGGAAGTACTATTTTCCTTCACAGAAACGTAAGATGATAGCCTACGGGTTAAAAAATTGATTTTGCAAACCCATAATGGCCCAGTTAGGCGACCCAAATTTTGGCCTATTAAGGGTACATTGGGCTAGACTGTCAGGCAGACAGTAGGGCTATATTTTTTTTTTTTATCTAGTTGGCCTGAGCCTAACCCTTTTGACCGGTTAATGCCCATCATGCTTGAACCCGGGCAGACTTGGGTCTGAGAAAGTTAGGCTAGACTAGCCTTACTCGACCCAATATCAACCTTTGCCAAAGTAAACTATTGGGTGTGGGGGGGGGGGGGGGGGGGGGGGGGGGGTTTTTGGAAAGAAGCACTTTGACTTTACACCTAATAGTTTAAACTAGTTATTGTTGGGTTTCCCTCCTTTGTGGGATTCATCAATTTTCTATATATAATTTTTTTATTAATTATTAATTTTGGCATGCACCTTGGTCAGCACATGACTTTTAATTTTGGTGGTTTACCCGTGCATGACTCTTGGCATATCTAAGGCTTGGTTTGCAGTTTTCAAGTTAAAAAGAAATTCAGCAGCCACACAAAAAAAGAATCAGAACTACAAGTTTTTGT